TATCGATACCCAGAGACGAGAACAGAAACTCGCGGTTTCCCGAGGGACTCGCTTGTCGCGACGCACAAAAAGCCGGCGTGTCAGCGGCCGCATAGAGAGGTGTATCGCCGTATGGCCTTTAAGATTCCTCTGCGTTCGCCGATGCCTTTCTTCTTCTTCGCTCGCCGCTCGCTCGCTCGCTCGCTCGTTCGCTCCTTCGTCCGCGTCTCTCGCGTTTTTTGAAAGAATCTTAATCGCTCGCGCCGATAAACGACCCTCGCGAGAATCGGGAGCGACCGACCGGCGCGGCGGCTGGCCGCAGCCCGTTCTCGCTTCTAACGTTTTTTTCACCCACCGCCCTGTCGTTCCCAAATGTTCGGTACCCTCAATTAACATTCGATGCAAAAATATTTTTGCCATAATTTTAACTCTAAAAATTTGTATTTATACAATTATTTGTATAATTTATATTAATATATTTTAAATATTAATTTAAATATTCATTTATATTTAATATATTTTAAATTTATATTATTATCATCGATAAATGTTTCAATCTTAGAAATTTAATTTTATTGCAAACTCTTACATTTTTTCATATTGTTTAAATAATATTAGGAATTTAGAAAGGAATTTAGAAATTCGAGATCTGTATCTTACGTGGCGACGCATTACTCGTACGGGATAAATAAGAAAAAAGAGACATCGCACTGTGACGAGGAATGAAAAAATGATCACTTGAATCGGGAAATTTGCAGAGAAAGCGGTGGAGAGGTTTTGCGGCGAATTGTCGCTCAAGTGGCTTCGGATGAGCAAATCATTTCGATGGTCCTTCGCGAAACGGCGATTTCAAAGCCGCCGCGTTCTTGATAATCCCGTTGCTGTGCGACATCTCCTTATGGCAAAAAAGGGCCATAGGGCTTTGGCAATTCTCATCTCTCTCCTTCTTTCCGCCTCCTTTTAGCCGCCGATTCCCTCGGGAACGCGAGTATTTTTTTTTTTTTTTTTTTTTTTCATGAATCAACCAATCATGCGTGATGCGTGTCGCACCTTTCGAAGATGGGAATGCCGTTTTGCATGCCATTTTAGTATAAATGTGACATGAAATGTATATTGAATTATTGGAGTATTGCGCACATGGGACTTACTATACTATATCTCAATGTGTATAAAATTATGATATTTATAGAAAAATAATAATTATTTCTGCACTTTTATCAAATATTACTTCCATTAGGTTATTTAAAATTTTTAAGATTAATTTGAATAAATTACTTCCAGAAACGGAGATAATTGTTTTAAAATAAAAACATTGCAGAATAGAAATTTCTATAAATATTATAATACACAGTTGAAATAAAATAAAATAATTTATTTTTAATTGTCACGATGGATCTTCTATATCGAATTAAATCTTAGTTCAAATGGGAAAGAAAAAATAATATTATACTATACTAAAAATAATACTAATAATATTTAGTGTTAAGTTTTTTGGGGCTTCATCAGGTTTTTTTTTATTTTCGTTTCATTAATTACATTTCATCGACTGTAATTTGCAATCGTGGAATGTGGCACGGTTAATCTCGCCGCTGCACTTTTGTCGGTCGGTAGATAATGGCCCTTTATCAGTCTTGGAACTTACACGGCAACGATCGTCTCTGAAATTATATATGCCAGCGACATTGCGATACTCTTGATGATCTCATGATTTTCGACTGTATCACATCTCGCGGCCTTCTTATCCGCCCTTATTTTTTTAGAGGCGTAAGAGGCGGATCTCAGCTGATCATCACACATAAGCTTAACATTTTTATTTACATAGAATTTAAAAGAGAATTTTTTTGCAAAGTTCGTAATCCAATAAGTGCCAATTTGATAAATAATTACATGTCAAATGTTATTTGTATGCATATGAATATTTGCACACAAAAAAATTCGAAGATATTCAGTGACGCACTTTTATTCGACGTGCCACGCTTTTGTTCCACGTGTTTCACGATACAAGTTCGGATATCGACGGTGACCGGAAGCCGCGATTTCTTTGTGCCTAGAATCGGAAGTCACGGAGGCGTGAATTTTAATATCATTCACGTAGAGAAGGGGGAGAATTTCTCTCGCGGATTCTTCGCGGTGCACGAGGGAAACCGTGCATATAGCACGCTTCGGCAAATCTTAATATGTCACCTAACACGTGTCCCTTTTATACTTTTGCGGTATTTCTCCTTCGCATAACCGACGATAATACCGCGTCGACCGCGCGAAACGGACGCGATTTCACGCTGGACGAACCGCGATTTTATTATAGAATCCCCAAGCGCGAACTGAGTATTTCAAATCTTCTTGGTAGTACCCCCCCATGTGTGAAATATTGTCAGAAATGTGAAGTGTATGTAACACATTTTGATTGTACACGAAATAAATATTTTATTCGACGTTTAAATACTGAAACGCATTCTTTTCTACGATGAAATGAGAAACAACTAGTACTAAAGATACAAAATCAATTGATTTAAAAAAATTTACAAGAATCACGCTGTCACTAATTTTACACTTTTAATTTTAACACGAATTAGGATTGAGACCAAAAAAAAATTTATCCGCGCGCAGTAATTTTGTTGGACTATCATTTAAACATAATAATAATAATACTACAAAATTTTTGCTTTTCTAGTAATTCGAGTGCCGTACACAATAATTTTGAGGGCTTCACAAAATTATTTTCAAATTTGTATTTAGTGAAACATTTAGATTTGCCAAAAGTGTTTTTTCCATGCGGAGTTGCCGCCAGACTGGAAAAAGTCTAACATTTCCAGTCCTGAAAGTACGAGGGTTAAAGTCATTAATGATAAAACGGGGTGATAGCGATGGTGATGATAGTGATGATGGTGGTGGTGGTAGTGGTGGTAGTGGTGATGATGGTTGGTTGGTGGGAACACACAGATAACCGTTTCGTAATTCGTTAGCGCGAAGCCTAACTACCGGGCGCGGCGCGAAATATAATAATTTTAATTTCCACCTTGTGCACGCTTCCACGCTCCCCCTCGCTCCTCCCTCATTTTATGCCTACCTAATGACGTTCGTCGTTGTAATTATTCGATGGAGCGCCGCGACCGCTAACATATAATTAAAAGAAAGTGAACGCACGAACTATCAAAACGACGACACCGCGAATCTTCTCCTTCCCCGAGAGCTTCGTTAAATCTTAATTCTCATTATTCCCGATTCGCTTCCTTCCTTACGCAAATAGGTCTAAGCGAGCGAACATGCTTAATTTTTTTTTTTTTTTTTTTTTTTTTTTGGAGAATTGAAAAGGATTTATCGGAACTTTTGAATTTTTCTTGAAAGTTTAATGCGAGCTTCTTGCTGATTATTTTTTCATTTGTCAGAAATTTCCTAAGTCTAAGGAATTTTCAGAATCGCATTTTTACAAATTTCAGAAAATTTTTAAAAATTTTAAGTAATTCTTTTATGGATTATATTCTCTTGTTATTTTATCGATTTTTAAAGGTTTAGATTCTTTTGCAATCGCGATTTTTGAAAATTTGAACATTCTGGAAATTTTAGGTAGTGAAACTACTTTTTCCGGAACTTTGTCGATATTCGTGGTTTTCATTTTCATCAATTCGGAATCTTTCTCAGAATTCTAATTCTTAGAATTTGAAGCTTCTTCACTCATGTTTTCCTGATACTTTATTAATTTTTGTGAATTTTTATTTTGAAATCTAACTTTGAAATTCTTACAATTTTTTCATCAATATATTCAGCAAGATATTCAATATAGGATTCAGACATCTAATATTGTTCTTATTTCTAAATTTATATAAACTCATTCTTGGCTGTCAATTACGGTTATATGTGCCGTTATATTTTTAACAGATTTAAAGCGATTTAAAGCCAGAATTATATTTTTCCTCTTTATAATAAATTGATAAATTTTTAAGAAGAGTTAATTGACATTAATGAATACAAAAATTACATCTAAAAATGATTTTAAATATTAAAGATATTTTATATTTATTTCTACCTGTACAGATTAATTTTAACCTCGATTTAATTTACTTTTATCTTTTCTTCATTTCCAGAATTAGGAAAAAAAAAGAGTAAACATACAGAGATTAAAATTTACAAATGTCACACGAATGTTTTGATAGTGTTTCATTGGCATGCTCGAAGTAGCGGCTTTCTTTATCTTGCGAGGGTAAAAACGAGCTCTTACTCGCGTAATCGAAAACGATCGACAGGACAGATTTTCCTTCGAGCTTCGAATTAATGTCACCGTAGATGGCGACACCGGTTTGACATACTCGGGATATATTTCGAGTTACACGTTACGATTTCAAAAGATCTCTACGATCGATAATAATATCGACCGATCGAATGTGGACTCGTGCTTGAGGCGGGCGGAGGGGGCGGAAGGCAATAGAAGAAAAGAAATGCGATTCGGGGATGCGCGTCGGTCCGCGGGAATTGTGTCTCGTGAGGCTCGTCTCGCCACCACGAGGATATTTCGTCGACCAAGTCGAAAGCGTCGGTCCGGCCGCCCGAGAATGAACGCGGGGAGATCGTCGAACAATGAGGGGATGTCTGTAATAGAACTGATACGGCAGGGAAAGCCTCTTAAGTTAATACCTCGTGGCCGCAGTTGCTGACAAACATTTTCTTTCCCTTTCATCGGGGGATATATCGCGTTTCGCCAGTCCACCTTCGGCTCGTTCGGAAGAGGTACGATCGCAAACGGACCGAGGAATTCGCCGATTATTACATTCCCCAGCATTTGAAAGCGTTGCGAATAGCGTTCCGAGATTTCTTTCTCTCACCGACCATTCACTGGTAGCCTTAATAAATTTCGCTTTCTTTATTCGTTGGCGTAGAGAAGAAAAGGATGTGTATACAGATAAGTAAATTATTTTTAGAAGATTCGATCAGGTATTCTGTCGCAAATTGAATCCAAGTGTGTGATTGTATAGCAGATTAAAATGACGTGTTCTTAATATTGAAATATTTTTGTATAACTTTTTTAGGCTGTATCTCTTGATTTTGAATGGTGGAATATGTTTGTAAACAATCCTGTGAAAAAACAATTGGTGCCAGAAGTAGGTATTAGAGAATCTTGGTATGTTCTCAGTGAACAATGCGAGAAAGCATTCCAGCGAGATATTTTGCTGGAAGTCAGAATCGACATAAGCTGCAAGGAGTCTAGATGTTACCCCTACCCTGCCTATCGTCTATATCAGTGTGGCTTCAGTCCTGGTCAGGACGCAGCCTTGATTCAGTATGCTTCCAGCAGTGCTATCGAAGGCATCGAAAGCATCTCAAGCATATTCTTTGTAATCTAACAAAGATTTAACAGTGCATGTATTATCGGATCGATTCACTTTTTGTCAAAATCATAATAGATTTTTGTAGACCTTAACAAATTTGAGGGCTGTCTGCGTTAGACTCACCATCAAGATGGTATGTACTCTGCTTCTTTTTTGATTCAGGTAAATGTGCGGTGGAGCGAGATGATTGACTATGACAGGTTCTCATTTCATATTTCTGCCTTTGTATGGGTCAGGATCAAGTTTCCACATTCATTCGAGAGAGCCTCCTCTCTCAAATAGCTCTACGATATTGATAGCACTGTGTGAAGATTATTTCATTATAGATTATCAAGAATTAACTTGTGTTTTATATATTTTGGTGAATATATATATATATACATAGAAAGAGAGAGAAAACTTCTTCTGTAATCAATATTATGTATGTGTTATGTGTATTTCAAGTTTTTTAATGTGATTTGTGCTGTGATATGTGTTGCGCTAGTGTAGTGAAAGCAGTTTCTGTGAATTAATTATGTATACAGGGGGTAATATCTCTTGTTCGAGTAGATAGTTGTACATTTGCTGCTCAGACTGAAGTATGGCCCATATGAGGCATATTTCAATACCCTGTCATAACAAAGGGGCAGGCCCTACAGGTATAATAGCCTTTTCTTCCCCAGATTGCCTTACCTTATAAACCTATTAATATTTTTCCGCTGTGTTAGAGCTTGATTTCGGTTAATAGAAGATATTAAACTCGCAATGTTGATCCGAACATTTTCAGAATTGGTAAGAACATTCAATAGATTGCGTTATAGGTTTTGTCGATCAATACCATACAAATGGTCTGCGCAATAGGGGTTGTGCATATATACATGTACATACAAAATGCATCCCTCTGCGCAGCTTGCCAGGAGATGGTCTATAGTTTCTCCGCTATGCTCCACCCTTAAAGTTCCTGACAACAGAAAAACCTCCCTTAGCTGCTTAATTGAGAGATATGACTCACCACAGAGCTCGATCGATCCAGCATCCCAGATTTCACTTCTTTGTTAGCGGTGTACCACCCCTGCTCTTCCATAGAAATATGAATGTATTAAAATCAATAGCATTTAGAAAACGTAGTTGTCAGATATGACTTAATTACTTTAATTCCACTTATTAAATGAATATACTCTGTCATTTAATCTTGACAGTTATTTTTACTTTTTATACTTTAGCATAAAAATACAAAATGTTATAACATGTAAGATATATATTATAAAATGTATTTATATGTATATATTGTTTCAGGTTGGGATTATAAAATGTATTTATATATTGTTTCAGGTTGGGACTAACCATGTCCACTAAGAGGCATCGCGGGCGAAAATTAAGTATAGATAATAAAATAGCACATGAAGGTCGTAATAGATAGGATGAGCGCATCTCGGCAAAACGAAGCGCGTTGCTTCAATGAAAACTCTCCCAGGCCGCCAGTGCCAGGTAAGATAAAACTTTTATTAAAAAGATAAAGGAAACTATATATACACTTTAAAATCTAAATTCTTTCAAAACCAGATTCTTTAAATGAAATAAAAAATTTCTTCAAATATCTTTACATAAAACCTTGATATGTTATCTTACAAAGAGAATATATTAATTATGTCTCTAACAAGAGTACATTTTTCAGGAGAGGAAACTGGAAGCTATGTCAGCCGGATCCGTCCACAGAGTCCTGCTCTGACACCAAGACGCTCTTCTTTCGCGACACTACAAGCCTCAGGCGGTGGTTGCGATGTTTCCGCGCCGTTGGGATTCGAGCCCGAGGGTTGTTGCGGAACCACTACCATGGAGAGCAATTCGCCCCCTGCTTATGCACGGTGGGCAAGAAATCTGCACTCCTTGTTAGAGGATCCGGAAGGTTTACAGCTGTTCAAGAGATACCTAATTCAAGAAGGGCATGTGGACCCGCTCAATTTCTGGTTTGCTTGCGAAGGTCTCAAAGAGCAGAAGGACACGGAGAAGATCTCGCAGTTGGTGAAGCTCATCTATCGGAGGTTTTTTCTCAAGTCGCAGCTAACCATACCGGAGGATGTGATGAAGGAGGCGGATCGGCGAGTTAAAGAAGGTCGCGCCGATCATAAGGTGTTCGACATCGTGCAGCTGGAGGTTGAGCGGCTGATCAACGAGACGACGTATCCCAATTTTCTTCAATCTGATGTGTACCTGCAGTATGTTCAGTCTTGCCAGAATCCCGATTCCGGCGGTTGCCCGAGTTCGGGTTCGGGTAGTCGCGAGATGTCCATCTCCTGCGGACCCAGTTTGCTGCCCACCGTACATGAGGACAGCGAGTACATCAGCACCGGTTGTATACACATGCACAATTCGCACTCGTCCGGCGGAACACCCGGGGAACTGAGATTGACCAAAGATATGCTGATGGCCACTCAACAGAGTAGAGCGATGGATCTACGACCGAGGCCAGAAGCATACGCCGGGTAATGCCATTTTCTATGAAATTATCGAGTCTTAGGATATCATTCATCACTTGTATAGTACGCTTCAAATCAATCCTGCGATGAATGCCTTAACAATGCTGTTTTGTCCCTTTTTTTTGTTTCTTTGAAGCTTGATGTGATGAAACTTGCATAATCTGAATTATATCTTAAGTTTATATTTTATCATCGTTGATTTTTGGAACGATAAATGTCTCCGAAAGATTCGCTATTCTCTCCCTCAATAACATTTTTGATAGTTTGTTCTACATGCAGAATATGCTAAATTTTTTTTTTATTTTTTTGTTTTGTACAGATAACCCAATTTTTTATTTGTCTTTATTTAGTTGTTTTTCTTTTGCTGTTTTGCGTGGCTCTTATAGCATTTACTTGCAACTTGGGGCTAGTCCGTATCACATGCACGTATCCAGATTGCACGCACAATATTCCTCCTACAATCCAGTATCCAGACAGGATTCTGAGCTTCAGAGTTTAAGCAGTGATGCACGTACCGAGGCGGACAATGTGTCCCTCAACGACGGATCCGTGTAAGTTCTCTCTTTCTTTCTCTCTTTTTAATTTATGCAGCGTTTTTGATTTTGCGTTTGAGATTGGAGAGTGGAATTTCTCTCCAACTTTTTATCTTGATCATGAAACTTTTTATTTATATTTTTTTTTTTTTTTTTTTTTTTTTTTTTTTTTTTTTTTTTTTTTTTTTTTTTTTTTTTTTTTTTTTTTAATTTTTCACCTTGCTTATTGTCAAACTAAATTAACGTTGATACTCATTATTGATGTATATCTATTTATAATTTATCATCAGCAGTGACGGGACGAGCAGTAGACAAAGGAGCAAGAAGCAATACAGCAAGCAATCTAGTAGGGCAATTAAAGAATCCGCGAATATAAATCGCGAGTCCATGGCACATCACGTTGTCCCACGAACTCAGCGTATGGCGTCCCCGAAACAGATGTCGACGAAGCAATTCGCGGAGATGCTCACGCAGAAACTGGAGATTCTGATACGAGAGCAAAAGGCGCAAGAGAAATTGGAAAAATATTTGTATCAGGAAAATGATACCTCGGTCGGTAACGACGCGTCGGAGGTTTGCGGAGCTTCCAAAACTTTAGGCGATGCGTTGAAGGAGAAGTTGTCGATGGAGGAAGACAGTGATCAAGCGATTCTTGATGAGCACGTATCTCGTGTCTGGTCAGATCAGACACCATCGAGATCTCCTAGACTCTCGCCCGAAAGAAGACGTCCCGCACACAATTATCCACGGCCTTATAAGCAGAGAAAAGAGAAAGACGTCGATTCCACGTTCTCGGTGGATAGCGGTAATATCCACGACTTCCAAGAGAGTAGCGATCTTGTTGGGGCTGGCTCTATGAGTTCATTAGGCTCACACCTACCTAAATCTAAATCTGTGCCATCCGATTACGCTGATTCCCTCCACAAACAGGATCTTTATGTTCAAGGTAAGTAAAATGGTAAGATGGATGCCGCGTGAAAATTAAACTATAATCATTCAGTAAAATATTTTTTTTTCGCAGGTCACGATCAAAGATTTCGAAGGTCGGACGCGACGAGACGATCAGCCACGAAAAAATCGATGACAGAACTAACGGATAGCGGAGTGAGCGTCGTCAGCGATGGGCAGCCTTCCATAAATAAGGACATTCGTTTGATGCCTCGGTTTAAAGAAATGGACAAAAAGGTAGATCTGAAATATAGTAGCCGCCATGGCAAGAGATATGGTTCTCGCAGTGGATCCTTAGAAAGGCCAAACAGAGAGACTTGGAGCATGGGAGTGCCTGCTCAACCGTTCGTTGCTGACCCGGGAATGCCACCTTTGACGCCGCCACATACGGTAAATATGAGCTATTTCACTCTCTTTTTAATGAAGAGACATGTGTATCATAAAAATTTGTCATAGGTCATACAATTAGAGGAGACTTGTAGAAGATTAATGGAGGAAAACAAGATACGCACCAGTTGTAAGCAACGACATCTCAACGTTTCGAAACAGACGTACGAATTTGTGTCGCAGAATCAGCCATATGCCCAGTCCAATCAGTCTACCTTGAGAAAACCGAAGCAGGACGATTTTACCACTGTTGTGTTCAGTTTTTGTGATGAGCAATTCCCTTACAGAACCAAGATTCCTGGTCACAACGTTACATTAAAGCAATTCAAAGAGTATCTTCCGAAGAAAGGGAGCTATCGGTAATGCTTCGTTATTTATCGATGATCAAACTATTTTATGAATTTTAATTAATTTTTTTTTTTAATAATACACAGGTACTTCTTCAAAACGGAGTGCGAAGATTTAGATACGAAAGTCATACAAGAGGAGATAACAGACGATACTGAGGTTCTGCCATTGTGGGAGGGCAAAGTGATGGCGCAGGTTAAGGCGCTCGAGTAATAGACTGAATAAAAGAAAAGAAAAAACAAAACCGAGCACGAAAGATGCGTATTCTGACCAAGTGCCGCAATAAATATTATTTAAGAAATCCGCCATTAAGTCAGCAAGCCGACGCGCTCGGTATTTATACATATATACATATTAACGCTTGTCACGCGGCCTCTTTCTCGTAATTGCCTAAGAAAGTAGTTTTAATCGATGAAAAAAGATAAAATATCGAGTCGAGCAATATCGCATTCTGTACGCGTGAATGTTGCAGAAAAGTAAGAAAAGAACGGCCTCACATCACTTCTGTTGAATATTGGTAAAACGTCGTAAACTTTGTTCACGTTATAAATATGTTATACGTTATAAAGATTTAATTTGGTTTATTTTCTGCTAAAATATTTTCAATAAAATCATGTCGTAAAATCGTTTATTGTGCAAAATCCTCGACATTACTTCAAGAATGATTCTCAATTATTTCATCAGAGAGATGTTGGATTGTTTAGTTTTACTGACAAAAGCAGTAAAACTAAATATTCACTAGGTTGAATTGTAAAACCAAAAATTAGATCGAAGTAAGACAGAACCGTGCTTTTCTCTCATTCTTCGTTTTTGATTGTTTAAATAAATGTAAAACATTTTTACATTTATTACAATGTAAAACATTTTTACATTTGTTATGATATATATTTTCGTATCTATTCAAGCCAGAAGAAGAGACGTTCTTTTTTTTTCTTAAATTCATTAATTTGTCAACGAATTTATATCGAATTTACATGGCGGATAGCTCGCGCGACTGCGCTTTATTGTACATAATTAGTTTGTAACTAATGATGATGATGCTATGCATTTTTATGTCGGTACGGGTTTTGCCAGATGAAATTATTAATATAATTTTGCCTGACACGGAAATCACCACTTTCACGGGATAGTTTGGGCAAGAGCGGCAACAATATGTCGAAATAGCGAAGATATTGTGACAGATTAAATAATTTCTTCCTCTCGAAGACTTCCCATAATTTTCCAAACGACTGTACAAAGGTTCGCGTAGTTGATCGCCTTAATAAGGTCATAGGCACTAGACATTACATAGGAGAGAATAATTATTCAAGTGCTATAAAGTTAGCACCTAAAAAAATATATTACGTATATTCTATGTAAATATGAAACGATGTCTTATGTAGATAATATACGTAATGTATTTTACGTATGTGCGATACAACATGAAATTGAAAACAAATCACGAATCATGTTTTTTCTCCCCGTTGTGCCACTTATTGTTACCGTTGCATCACCGTCATCCATTTCGGCATTGTGAAATAAGTTCACCATGCGTAGCCTAATACACGGCGATATTTATAATATACGTCAACATGCAGTTGGCATGGAGACGATGAAGAAAAGAAGAAAAGAAAAATCATTAGCGTTTAGATTGTAATAATGTTTGTATCAGGTGCGGAAATATGTGCCTTTTTAGTGCGGTAAGATCGAGATAAGTCTAAGAGAGAGAAGGTTAAAAAATATTTATAAATTGCAGTACGGGGGCCCAATCCTGATAGGAAGACGATTTATGTAAATTGATCGGATATTAAAACCCATATTATTATCGGCGAGAACATCAAGTTCTCCTTTTTCTTTATTTTTAATCGTCTTCCTGGTCTATCAAAATCGATTATAGCTTTGTTTAACTCTCAATCATACTGTTCTTCAATTATTCAAATTCTAATCTTTACACACGTGAAGTCGTGCAAAGGATTTGTAGATTCTCGCGTTGAAATGTTCGATTGTATATTCTGATAGAAATTACAGTAGTGTAAAAGTGTACTTCATCTATCATACATCTCTCGATTTGCAAAAGAAAAGTATTGTATAAAAATTAAATCTTATATAGAAGAAAAGAAGAAGAATAAAAGTCGGAATCAAAGAGATTAAATTATAATACACTACAGTACAATGTAAATCCGTGAAAAATGCCGTTTTATGGGATGGCCCTTGATCAATGGTTCGACTTTATAATTTGCCGGATCTCGCTTTCTATGCGTGATCCCCGTGGAAAATTCATTCAAGAAGAAACAGAAACGATATATTCTGTTTATTTAAGAGTAAATAATTGATGAGCGTTTATTTGAAAACTCGATTGTATCTCCTCAAGCTCGTCGCTATCGAAGACGCGATCGATAACAATTTTTAATTGTACGTAATTGAACATTATATCACGAACGTTAAAGTGTTCCTGTACCTAATTAATTAATAACGATTATTATTGTATATCAAAAATATTGAGAATAATAACGCGATTTTCACTGGATCAAACAAAATTCTTGTATATATTTTTCAGAATCTCATCTTGCAGCCCTGTTAAGGTGTCGCCAAATATCAAGGAATGATTAGATATGTCATCAGAAAAATGGGATATTATTTATCTGATTGAGATAAGCATTTTTTTTCTATGTACGTTTTTTCTATTTTTTTTCTAAGTATTTAAAAAGATATATATCGACAAATAAAGGCAAGAAATCCTTTCTTGCTAGAATATATTAACGTTTTCCTGTTGTATTGTAACCATATTAAGATCCAAAAATGGAAGTTTTTACGAATCTTTTTCTTCACGCTTACACAAAAATTAGATAAATTATATATCATCCGTATCTGATTAGAAAAATATAAAAAAAAGATTACATGACTTATGGTTGCAATAATTGGATACAATGCTCAATGGACATAAATTTTATTTACAATATCCATAAAATCTTTTCAAGAGTATTTTACCATAAAATTCAATAGCTTAATGGTACATTTGTATCTTTTTTTTTATATATTCTCGTTAAAAATTTGTTTTATCGAGAGTATTTTCGAAGTTTGTTCTGTCCATTTTTTCGCAAAATGGATTTATGGACTATTTTCGGAGAATATATTTATAACAAACATGTGTAAAAAAAAGTATAATAAAAATTCGAACACTTCCTTAGAAAGATCTATCGACTAAAAAAACCGTAACTCTTGCAAATGGTAAAAATTTGTGCGAGGATGTTTATGGTCTGAAAGTCGTCCACGCACTTATGTCTAAACATTAAATTACGTGATATGATAGCACATGAACATAATGCATATTTTGTTGTATTGACGTTTGTATAAATTCGAGTTTGATGAAATGAGAATCACCCTCGAATGAGAAAGGAACCTCGTAAACCTTTCGATAACAACTATTAATTATGATGGCTATAACTTGGAAGATCACTGTGGTGGTGGATAAGCAGGATTATATGGAGCCTGTTTGGCATATGCCTCGTTATATGGTGGAGGTTGCGGCATTCCTAAAAAATTAAATAAAAATTATGTATACAAGAACAAAGTACTATCCGTGCACTTCTCTGTATTAAGTCGTTTGTAATGTTAATTAAATAACACTAGATTCAAGGGATTTCTAAAGACTTAACGAAGAGAATATAAAATATTTTTTTATAAATTTCTCTAACGACTGCATGTTAAACATTTTAAGATACAATCACCATTATCCCCTTGAACCTATGGGTGTTGGCAAAAAGCTCGCCTTGTTTTAATCGACTTGTTTTAAAACACAAAGGCCCATATTATCGATAAAAGAGGATTAAGAATATGAGCTAAATGATGTAAACATTTTTTATGAGATACCTGTTGAATTCGTTGGATATGGAACGTATGGGTTTTGAGCAGATTGACTGGTGTAATTCGGCGGAACATTTGCCTGGGGCTGAATTACTTGCACAACAGGTGTCTGAACTTCTGTAACAAGTCCTTGTGTAACAGGCAGAAAGATATAAAAAAAATTTCCAAATATACTTCAATTTTGTATCAGAGACAGCGAGCAAATCAATATCAAGAATAAAATCCACAAAATCAGAATAAAAAAATAAATATAATAATTTAATAGAATTTCCTAAACAAATTTCAAAGAAAACAAAATCTAATTAATCGAAATTGTTTTCAGATGCATCCTTATTAAATTAATATTTTCATCGATTAAAATAAAATAATAAATATAATGAATTCGTAATAAAAAAAGTCGGGTTATACATTAAAAAAAATTTTAACTAATATTTTATGAAAAATTTATATTTTTTCTTATAATATTTAGAGAGATACATGACCCGTATGCTGATTATAATGATCAGTTAGCGGTTTTGTAGGCGATTCTAATATTTGTAAATTTAATATCGAATATGAGCACAAGTGGAAGGAATGTTTACTTGAACACATTCTATGCACTGTACTTGGAAGATTTAAATACATCAGAAGCTAAAGGCAATCTACATACAAGATGTTCCATCTAAATATGTCATCAATATCATATTTAATGATGCTTAACGATGCATCATTATTTTTTTCTCATGGATGAGTATTGCCCTCAATAATATAAAAAAAAAAATCAGTCTATAAGATAAAAATATCATTTCTATTATGGATGAAACATTTTGTACATACATCTTAATAAAGTATGCGAAGTACGGCCGTAGTCAATAAAAATATCAAACTATGTAAAATGTCATGTAACTTTTCGTACTTTGTATGTACATAGTCTCAGACTTTTTTCCACTGTGTAAGTTATCTTACATCCAAAATTATATAATTTCTCCACATAAGAATGCGGCAATTCGATAACACAAACTAAAATTTGGAACTTGTATAAAAATACTTCATTGAGAATAATATTAAAAATAAAAATATCTTATTCAGTAATAGACATTCTTATAAGGAGAAAAAAATATGTTTTGATATATATAATATATAGGTACGTTACGCTAATCCCTCGTGGGAATTAGCTCAAATGCCATGTTATATATAAGGAAGCAGGATACAAATGACTGTTAAAAATCTTTCGACACTGACATATAAGTATTCTTCGTAGAGGAATGGTGTGTCGGAATGGTATTATGCCATGGCTGGTCCTAAAAAGAATGACGACTACGTTACTGGCCAATTCACAGGATTTAGTATGTG